CAGACCTGCTCTAAAAGAAATGCTAAAGAAAATTCTTCAGCTGGAAGGGAAATAATGCCAGAGGGAAAACTGGAATCTCAGAAATAAAGGAGGAGCAACAGAAATGGCAAACAGTTATGTAAATATGAGACTATTTTTCTCCTCCTGAGTTCTTTAAAACATGTATGATAACAGAAAGCAAAACTTACAACACTGAAGCAGTTTTCAATGTATGAAGATGTAATATATAGGTAAAGTAACCTACATGGTGGTATGGTTTCTATATTCCAAGGGAAGTGGCACAATCTCGTTTCCAAGTAGACAGAGAAAAGTTCAATATGAATACTGTAATCTCTAGAGCAACCACTAAAATAACTATACAAAGTACATAGTCAAAAACGTCAATAGATTGATTAAAATGGAATACTAAGAAACATAAGAAACATTCAAGTAATCCAGGAAAGAGAAAGAGAGAAATAGAAACATACGGACAAAAAGAAAACAAATCATAAAATGATAGACCTATACCCAAGCATATTAATAGTTACATTAAATGTAAGTGGTCTAAACACACCAATTAAAAGAGAGAGACTATCTGATTAAATTTTTTTTAAAAAAGACTCAAATATATGCTATCTACAAGAAATCCACTTCCAATATAAACAGAAGTATGGGAAAAATAAACCATGCAAATAATAATTTTTTAAAAATGTGGAATGGCTAGATTACTATCAGAAAAAGCAGACTTTGGAGTAAGGAAAATTACCAAAGATAAAGACATTAAATCATGATTTATAAAGTCCACTCACCAAGAAGAAATAACAATCCTAAATGTCAATGCACCTAAAAATAGAGCAACAGGAGGCTGGCCTGGTGGTGCAGTGGTTAAGTTCCCGCGCTCTGTTCCAGCAGCCTGGGGTTCGCTGGTTCAGATCCCGGGTGCGGATCTAGGCACCACTCATCAAGCCATGTTGTGGCGGCATCCCACATATAAAGTAGAGCAAGACTGGCATGGATGTTAGCTCTGGGCTAATCTTTCTCACCAAAAGAAAAAAAATAAATAAACCAACAAAATACTTGAAGCAAAAACTGACAGAACTAACTTCCTATTTGTTGCAACATGCAAATAGCTTGGAAAGGAGTGATTCCAGTCCTCTCCGCAAGAAAAAAGCTGAACAAAATGAAAATCAACTTTTTTTCAGATCCATCAAAGAATGAGATCACAAGGAAAACTGCTGCCCCAAACTAGAGAGACGGACAGGTAGAATACAGAGAATCACAACTTTACTGGAGCAGAAGCCTCTGAAGTCAGTAACTGGTAGAAACATGTAAACGGTAATTACAACTGCTGGAGGGTTTAAAATTCCTGGGGCTTAAAACTCATGGGGCTGTCTTGAGAGGAAACAGGGAGGAACACACTTTAATGAGTTTTACCTCTAGGGGCCCCACCAGGTTCTTATGGTAAAGATTGGAGAAAAAAATCCCTCATGCTTTAGACAGGGGGAGAGGAACACTAACCATTTTGAAATGCACCCAGAGAAAAGCAACCATTTTGAAAACCTCCCATAACAAAGACCTTACCCCAAGGGAAACTACTTTATCAGAGCCTTATCTGACCTAGGGGAAGGGCAACTTGACAGCTGGAATCTCCTCTATCCTTCCTGTCTCACAGAGGGAAGAAAAAAAAAAAAAAGGAAAGGCTTAGAAACTCTTCTGGAGGGCAGAGTCCAGGGCTGCAGACACACAACACTGAGATTGACTCAGGATTCCAGAATGCTCTCCTCAGCCAATCACCACCTCACCACCACATCAACAGGGCTCCAGGGTAACAGTGGATTACAACTGAGAGAGCTGTCAGATACTGATTCCACTTCAGACGCAGTTTCTGGGGAAACTCAAAGACAATAGGGAGACAAAAAAGGATGCTTGAAGAATTGGAAGCCTCTTACATCTATAACTGTAGCAAACATCAAACACAGTGACTTCTAGCCAGATAAACATAAAAGCTCACACTCAAGGTCTATTTACTTTAGTTCCTATTACCTGATACATCAAGTTTGGCTTTCAACAAAAAATTACAAGGTGTGCTAAAGGCAAGAAAAAAACACAGTCTGACACCAAGCAACCATGAGACCTTGACTCAGATATGGCAAAGATTTTGCAATTATCAGACTGAGTTTAAAATACCTATGATTAGAGCTAGGGCTCTAATGACAAAAAGTGAACAACATACAAAAACAGATGGGTAATGTAAGCAGAGAAATGGAAACTCTAGGAAAGAATCAGGGAAATGCTAGAAACCTAAGACACCATAACACAAATGAAGAATGCCTTTGATGGGCTCATCAGTAGACTGGACTTGGTAGAGGAAAGAACCAGTGAGCTTGAAGATATGTCAACAGAAACTTCCCAAACTGAGAAAAAAAGAGAAAAAAGAATGGGGAAGAGACAAGGAAGATTTTCAATGTGAGTAGTCTAAATATACCAATCAAAAGACAGACTGTCAAAATGCATTTTTAAAAAAAAAGAAAGACTCAACTACATGTTGTTACAAGAAATCCACTTTAAATACAAAGACATATAGATTAAAAGTAAAGAGACAGAGAAACATACACCATGCTAACACTAATCAAAAGAAAGCTAGCATAGCTGTATTAATTTCTGTCATCTGATTGGTGTATTTTGACCACTGGCATTGAAAGTGATTATTGAGGGCCAGCCGCGTGGCTTAGCGGTTAAGTGAGCGCGCTCCACTGCTGGTGACCCGGGTTCAGATCCCGGGCGCGCACCGACGCACCACTTCTCCGGCCATGCTGAGGCCGCGTCCCACATACAGCAACTACAAGGATGTGCAGCTATGACATACAACTATCTACTGGGGCTTTGGGGGGAAAAATAAATAAATAAATAAAATCTTAAAAAAAAAAAAGTGATTATTGATATAGTTGGATTAATAGCTACCATATCTGTAACTGTCTTTTATTTTTTACACTTTTTTTTTTAGTATCTCCCTCTTTTTCTACCTTCTCTGGTTTTAACTGAGCATTTTATGATTCCATTTTCTCTTTTCTCTTAGCATATCAAAATTTCAACGTCCATTCATGATAAAAACTCTCAGCAAATTTTGAATAGAATGGAACTTCCTTAAGCTGATAAAGAGCATCTACCGACAGCTAACATCACACTTAATAGCAAAACACTGAATGTTTCTCCGTAAGATGGGGAACAAGGCAACACTGTCCCGTCTCACCACTCCTAACTCAGCATCATATTAGAAGTCCTGGTCAGTGTGATGAAGGAAAAGGAAATAAAAGGCATAGAGATTGGAAAGGGAGAAATAAAACTGTTCCTATTTGCAGATGACCTAATTGTTTATGTAAAAATTCCCAAGGAATCTACAAAAAAATCTCCTAGAACAAATATGTGAGTTTATTAGCAAAATCATAGAATACATGCTCAATATGCAAAAATCAATATTTCTGTGGACTAGAAACTGAAATTTATAAAATAATATTATTTACAACATCTCTGCAAAAAAAAAGTGAATACTTGGGTACAATTCTAACAAAATGTGCAGATCTGGATGCTGAAAACTACAAAGCACTAATGACAGAAATCAAAGGAAATCTAAATAAATGGAGAGACATACCACATTCATGGATTGAAAGACTCAAGAGAGTGACAATGTCAATTCTCCCCAAACTGAGCTACAGATTTAACATAATTCCAATAGGAATCCCAGGAGAATTTTTTGATATAGACAAGCTGGCTCTAAAATGCATATGGAAAGGCAAAGGAACTAGAATAGCCAAAACTATTTTGAAAAAAAGCAAGTTGAAGGATTCCAACTTTAGGTTAAAATTACCTAATTTTAAAACTTATTTTAAAGCCCACACGTAATCAAGACAATGTGAAGGGATAAAAAAAATTGCTGAAGTGATAAACACACATACACACACATATATCAATGGAACAGAATCCAGAGAATCCAGAAATAGACTCACAATATTGCCATTTGATGTCTGACAAAGTTGCAAAAGCAATTCAACAGAGTAAGAATAGTCTTTTCAACAAACGGTGTTGGAACAATCAAACATCAATATGACTAAAAAAAAAAAAAAAACAAATCTCAACCTAAACCTCACACCTTATATAAAAATTAACTCAAAATTTATCATCGATCTAAATATAAAACATACAACTAGGGGCCGGCCCCAGGGTGTAGTGGTTGAGTTTGGCGTGCTCCACTTTGGCAGCTCAGGTTTGCGGGTTTGAATCCCAGGCGCAGACCTATGCAGCCTGTCAGCCACACTGTGGCAGCGAACTCATATGTAAAGTGGAGGAAGACTGGCACAGGTGTTAGCTCAGGGCTAATCTTCCTCAAGCAAAAAGAAAGAGGAAGATTGGCAACAGATGTTAGCTCAGGGTTGCTCTTCCTCAGCAAAACAAAACAAAACAAAAAAAAGTAGAACTACAATACTTTTAGAAGAAAACATGGGGACATATCTTGATGACCTCAAGTTAGATGAGTTCTTAGATGAGATACGAAAAGTAAAATCCATACAAGACACATCAATAAATTGGATCTCAGCAAAATTAAAACCTTTCACTGTATGAAGGGTACTGGTCAGAGAAGGAGAAGACAAACCAGACTGGGAAAATCGTGCAAACCACCTATTCAACAAAGGACTTGCAGAGACAAAAAGAACTACTAAAGCTAAACAGAAAACAACCCAATTTGTTTAAAAACACTTCAAAAGATTGGAACAGACACACTTTCAAAGAAGATGTATGGATAGCAAATAAGCACACGAAAAGATGCTCAACATCATGAAAACCTGTTCCTGGTGGTCCCCAAAAGCATCCAGGCTAAAAATCAACCCCACCCTGACCCACCCAGGAACTCGACCTGTTGACCCAAATAATCCATAACCAATCTATAAATCAAAATTGGGGTGAGTTTATTATGAGCCAGATTTGAGGACCATATAGCCTGGGGCCTTAAGGAAGGCACCAAAAAAGTGGGGTGTACAGAGTGGTTATATACCGTCAAAGAGCATGTATCACATATGATTGCAATGTCCCTTTTACAATAGTCTCAAGATTGCCCTGTCGGCACAACAACTGATGGACACAGCAGGTAGCAGGTCTGCTGTCTCGATGAGCACGGCAGTTAGCAGATCTGTGGTCTCCAGCTGGGTAGTCACAGAGTGAGCACAGCAATCAATTCCTAGCCTAGGGAGAGATGCTTATCCTTAAGGAAATGCTGTTGTGGGGGAAGTTACATTTTTATCTTAAGGGCATTTGTTCTTGTCATTGGGACATGGTAAATGCTTAAAGCAGATATACAATGCATGCTCAATGGCCAAGTCAGGTTCTTTTGGAAAAACAAGGTCAGGCTGAATTCGTTTTACACCAAATGGCTTCCTCGTATGCTCCAGTATATTCTATTGCTTGCCATTTATTTATCAGACTCATCACAGGAAAGAAATCTGGGAGGAAGTGCTTAGAGGCAGGAAGCAGAGGAGCCTGGCTACACACCTGTCCTTCACTGACACACGAACTTAGTCGTCTGCTTAACGGGTTGAATGATTCTAGCACAAAAATCTTTTTAAAAATCTCTCCTATTTTAAGTCAGAGAATTTCAAAGTTTCATGGTACTTTAAGATGACTTGTCCATTAACTTAATGGACTTGGGAAAACCATTCTCACTTGACAAACAGGGAAAATGAGGCACACACATTTGGAGCCCAAAGACACTTTAAGACTTAGGCAGTCCTAAAACTATCTATACAGAGACAAGACTGGGTCAGGGCCTCATACCCACCCCATCTCCCCTATGCATACCCAGACAGTTCTCTACACTCCTCCCATAAGGACATTCTGGAGCCATCACTGGCTAAAAATCAGGTTTCCACTCCCTGAGACAGGAAACACAGAGGAAGAGCAGTTTGTGTTGGTAGAGGTGAAGACAGAAATCCAGTCTGGAATATGTTGAGTTTGAAACATCTAGGAGGCATGGAGGTGGAAATGAGCAAATGTAGATGGGGCATCTGGCCTGAAGAGTTGATGTGAGCATGAGAGACCGAAAAAATTTTACATATGAAGTTACCAGGACTGTCTTCCTTTTTCCCACCTCTTCAGACAACAGAGCCAAGAGAAAATACCATGTTTCATCAAATCCAAGATGCTACTGTTTCTAAGAGAAATGACTAAGAAAGAAAAACTGCTGTCAAGATCTGACACAATGCTAAGACAGTAATGATTTTAAGATGCACCCCAAATTCAGAGATGTTATAAGATGGAAAAAAAGATGCATTTTAGAATAGATGAAATACAATAAGCCTTTTTATTGGTAGAAGGTAGTTAGATTGCAGTGAATACAGGGTAGACATTCGCTTTTGTAAATTTTTGTTCTGATATAATTTCAAAGTTATAGGAATGTTGCAAGAACAGTACAAAGAATTCTTGACAATCCTTTGCCAATTAACTGTTTTCACTTAGCCTCATTTATCATGCCCATTTTATCATTTTATCTCCCTTTCTCTCTCTCCTTCCCCAAATTTCTGATTAAGTTTCAGACTTTGTGCCCTCTGCTACCTAAAAACTTCAAGATGCATTTACTAAACTCAAGGTCATAGTCACAGTACAGTGATCAAACTGAGGAAATTTGACATTGATATAATACTATTATCTAATCCACCATTCACATTCAAATTTTGTCCAGTGTCCCAATAATATCCTTTATAGCTATCTTCGCCCCCACACCCAGCATCAAGCACTGTATACAGTTGTCAGGTTCCTTCAGTCCTCTTTCCTCTGGAAGGGTTCCTCAGTCTTTCTTTGTGTTTCTTGCTCTTGAAATTTTTGAAGAATACAGAGGCCAGTTATTTTGTACAGTGTCGCACTAATGGAATTTGCCTGATGTCTCCACACACTGAGATCCAGGTTATGAGGGGAATATGCCTGGGTGAGCTTGTGTCCTTCTCAGTGCCTCTTATCAGGAGGCACGTGACGTCTCCTCACTGAAGACGTTAACTTTGATCACTTAGTTAAGATGGCATCTACAGCACAGCAGTCACCTTTCGTGAGAATTTGAATTACAATAATTTTAAGTAGTAAAAGCTTCAAATATCAAAGTCTTATTTTATGTGTAAAATGTGAAATAATGAAAATTCAAAAAGAATTTAAAATGTATCAAGAACGGCTTAATTTTAATGCCAGGCAGCAATGTGAACTATCAACTATATTCTATTCTTTTGCCACAGAGCAGGGCCTGCCTAAGTTTGAATTATGCAGGGCCCCTACAAACAGCCTGTTTGAAGCAGTTTTCCGAACAGTGCTACCAGCAGTGACAAGAGGCCATTGGCATAGATTGTGGGGTTTAGAAATTGGGCATCCATGTTTCTGGCTGAGTGGTGGATAGGGGGACAAACTTGCCTTGCCACTTCCCTTCATCTGGGTCCTTGGAGAGCAGTGACCTCACAGAAGCCGGACCACAAAAACAGTCACCTGATCCCAGGGAGCTAACTGGCCAAGCTGCAGTCAGCCTTTAGAAATTGGCTTCCCTGGGGCAGAAGGCACCATCCTCCCTTTTATCACAGAGACAATGAGTTCTCAGTTTCATTCTCTATCCACAGGGGGGCACACACCCCCCCGGAGTGTGTGGGGTTGAATCTCATCTGTTCAAGGTTCTCTTGTCTCTCTCAAGCTAGGGAAGTGGGGATGCTACCCACTTTCGCCTGGTTTTGTCCACTTCCATGAACACAGCCAAAAGCCCAGAGGCCAGGTGGATGGCCAGGCCAAGCACATCCCTCCTCAGGCCACCTGAGTATAAGGCAGGCATCTGGATACCATGAGCTCTCCTGGGGGGTATGATGATCTGCCCATCAAAACTGAGCAGACTGCCTTGGTGATTTTTAAATAATGTATAACTATTTACAAAATTCCTGTGCCCATGAAGCTAAACTCCAAATCAGGGATCGTTTCATTATGTTACTTGATGCCGGTTCTTACGTTTACGGCTTGATGCCATTTGTGACCCTGAGGGAGACCCCGCAGGCCCCCGGTTTGAATGGCAATCCTAGGAGGTCCGCACTAGCAGGACCAGTCCACCATCCCTCTACGTGGTAACTAGCGGGGGTCAGGGTTTGTTACATACACAAGCCCAGCATCAGACTCATTTTTAAAAAACGTTATTTCCACAGGCACACACAGCTACAAAGCCCATAGGAGGGAAAGCGTGACTCATTAAGCCATTGATACTCTTGCCTATAAATGGAATCTGAGGGGCCGGCCCGGTGGTGCAAGTGGTTAAGTGCACGCGCTCCGCTGCGGCAGCCGGGGGTTTGCCGGTTTGGATCCTGGGCGCGCACCGATGCACTGCTTGTCGAGCCATGCAGTGGCGGCATCCCATATAAAGTGGAGGAAGATGGGCACAATGTTAGCTCAGGGCCAGTCTTCCTCAGGAAAAAAAAAAAGAGAAGAATTGGCATCAGATGTTAGCTCAAGGCTGATCTTCCTCACACACACACACAGAAAAATAAATAAATAAATGGAATTTGAGTTGACAATTCCCCTATCAACCCCTCACCTCACATGTCTAGGAAGATCATGTAAGTCACAGCTTTTTATCAGCCCTGAAAACTCATCATTTTCTTCTTAAGGTACAGAAATAATCTAGTCACCGAAGCATTGAGAACCCCACGTGCTGGGAGGCCTGGAATTTGCGGAGAGCCTGTCCAGATCCTGGCATACCCCTTAGCATTGTGTGACCCTAAGCACAGCTAATATCAATCCCAGTCTGCAAGATGGGGCTGTGGGAGATCAAAATTGACCACCTCAAAACATGTCTATTTACCTTGATTATTTTCTCTGAAGGACATGTGACCTTCCTCCAAACTGCCTAGAAGCGACAGACTGGGAGGGTCCTTGCTAAACCCATTCTTATCAAAGCTCTGTTTAAGGCAAATCTTCATTGTAAAGGTATCTCCCTCTCTGCACCAGGAAGAAGGGGGGATGACCTTATGTCTAGAAACTCTTTATCAGCTTGGAAGGTGAGGACTTAAACCTGCACACTCTTGAGCACTGTGCTTTCTGCTCGTCTCCCATAGCCGACTCCCCCACCCCCAACAGCCTCCTTTGTCTCCCTGAATGTGCTATTTAAGATGAAAACCTCCGCCATTTGTCGAGAAACTCAGCTTCCCTGGTTTCTCCTATGTGTACATGTTATAAAGCTTTGTTTGATTTTCTCCTGCTATTTGGTATTATGTCAATTTAATTTGTAGCCCAGCCAGAAAGGACCCAGAGTGGGCAGAGGATAGTCTCTCTCCCCTTCAGGGACAACAGCACGCCACAGCTCAGCAAACTGCTGTTAGCACTACGTGAAAGAATTTATGGAAAGCACTAAGAATAGAGCCTGGCATGCAGTGAGTGCTCAATCAAAATTTAAAAACAAAACACCAAGAGACAGGGGCTCCATTTCTAACAGCATCACGGCTGGTGCACGAGCTATTTATAGTGCCCAGGTACAGGGGACACATTATCTGTGTGGCGAACCACTCAAGCCCACCAGTGACCAAGCACCCAAAGCCCTCTCCCAGCCCCCACAAACCCTGTCTCTGTGGATAGCAGCAGGGAAGTGTGGGGCCTGTGGCAGATCAAGTGGGGAGCCTTCTCCCAGCTGGTGGGTGACTGGTTCAAATGGCCCGGAGGCCACCAGGTGTGTTACTTCTCATTCTTAAAGAGAGCCATGGAAGCCAACCTCCTTCTCCCTCCAGATGTGAGTGAGACAGCCATCACCAACATGACACGATGCACAAGAGGAGCAACCAGGGCCCCTACAAGCTGGTTCAGCCACTGGAACAACCCATCCTGAAGCCCTGTACTTTCCTTGTGGGACCTCCCTATTCGTTTAAGCCAAGACTGAGTTGGGTTTTCTATCACTGGCAGCTAAAAACATTCTTTTTTTTTGTGAGGAAGATCAGCCCTGAGCTAACATCC